GGGGGCGGCCCGAGCGGCGCCGCAGCCGTCCTCGGCTGCTCTCGTCCTCGCCGGTTCGGGCTGCGGGGGACGTGCAAACGGTGTGGGGCTGGCGTGCTCGTCAGGGGAGGAAGGAACCGGCGGCTGGGCGCCTGGCGCCCGGTGCCCGGTGCCCGGTGCCCGCCGCCGGGCAGGCGCCTGGGAGAGGAGGGCGGCCCCCGGCTGTTAGCATTAGGTGGTTCCGGCCACCCTGTTGTTGATCTTTGCGTCGTTTGCTTTTTTGGCAAAGGGAGAGGTGGGATGAGTTTATTATTTTCAGCGTTTCCTGAGTTAGTGCCACAAACTGCCTTCTAATGGAGCTTGTTTCCTCTGGAAAGGGATGGGGAGAGATCACAGACTCCGTCCCAGCCTGTTGCCTATAATTCTCACCTTAGCCTTCCTTTTAAGCTGGAGAGGGTAAGAGAGATTTGATACCGTGGAGGAGGTAATTTCAAAAATTGGATCGTGATTTGGAAGCAGTTGCACACAAAGCAGCATTCGGGAAGCCTATTACTCTCTTTTCAGAGCTTAATGCCATGTTTTAGTCGGACTTCTGACTAAAGTCAGAATGTTTCTTTGGTATTTTGAGTTTACATTTAAGGTTTGAATTAAGACGATAGTATCTACCAGGAGCTACAGTACACTCACGGATGGGCTCAATTGTATAGACTTTTCTTTTTATATCACAGAAACGAAATTGAGCGAAGAGCAGGGCCAGTTTCGGAGGAAAGTGTGGTGAACTCAGGTATATTGAAGCCATGGCCTTCACTTAAAGAAATTCACGCTCTTACTGCAGTAGTGCTTATTTGTAAATTGGCCATTGTCCCAGGACATATTTTTATTTTTCTCTTGCATGTAATGTGACGCAGCACCGATGAAGTTGGATTTCAGTAGATCAATTTTATTTACTTTCGTAGATTTGGGTCCCATCTCCATACTTCTTTGGAAAGTAGACTTTGATCTAGTCTCTGTTTTGGCCTGTCAGAGCTTTGTTGAACCGTGAAAAAAAAAATTTGCCTTTTTAGCTTGTCCAAGTCCCACATGTGAGTTTCCCCATAGGGATAAAAATGTAGGCCAAATTGGAACCAAAGTAGAATAGCATCGCTTTTAATTTTGCCTCACTTTTGTGTTAACATTCCCAATTTTGTATCTTGGTCCTCATCTCATTTAGTTGGAGTTATTCATTATTTAATTACTCAGTAAATGATAGCGTCCCTGTGGCATGCCAGGCACTGGTAGCAGGGGTTATTTCTCTTCCTGAAGTTGCTAGGAGTCTCATTTGGAACCTAGTTCATACCTTCATTCCAGTAGCTACCTGGAAGTAATTTGAGCAAAGTGCAGTGAGAACTTAAAAGAAGGAACATTTCTTTCTGAAGTCTAACAGGGAAACCCTCACATAAGCACTAAACTCTTCAAGATATGGTGTGGAATTTTGCCAAGTACACGCCAGGCATAGAGAGAACAAATAGGGTGCTTTGATGCATTAGGAGTGCTGCATATGGATCCTTAGGCTGAAGGACCTAAGGTATTGGATGGAAGTAATGGCTAGTGGTGTGTTCATTTCCAAGCACTTAGCACTTTGCTTACTTACAGTGGATGCTCATGTGTTTATTGAACTGATTTGAACAGAAATGTGAAAAATTTTGCATGCCGAGATAAGATGCATGAAGTTTATCCTGTTAGTGATACAAAGCTGCTAAATTTTTTTTAAAGATTTATTTATTTATGCGTACAGAACTGGGGTACAGGCCAGCACGTAGGAGCAGCAAGAGGATTCACCAGAGACAGAGGGAGTAACAGAATAAGCAGATCGATGAAGTACACTGCTGAGGGGAGCAGAGGGCAAGAAAGGAGAGGTTTGCTGTGTTATGTGGGTCACCTCAGGGATTGAACTTGCACTGGAGCGTCTGTGGCTAGCTTGCAGTGCTAAGTCCTAACCTGTTGCGCCACCAGGGAGGGACCCAAAGCTGCTAACTTTAAGCAAGAGAATGTCATGATAACATTTGCATTCCAAAAAGATATCTGCAACCCTCTCATGGATAGAGGGGGTCCAGATGGGTGCTAAGGAGACAGAGTAGTAGCTGTTGTGCTTTGAGGGTTAAGTGCTTCTCCATTTACATAGTCTGAGATTGAATCTAGTTCTGTCACTTATTGTGTAACCTTGTCCTTCTTTATCTTTAGGTTCTTCATTTCATAGGATTTGGGGGATAAAACTTGAAAAAAATACTACTTGAAATAGTGCTTGGTAAATGTTGTCATACTGTGTGAAGGCAGTGGAAACAGACAATGTGATATTTAGGAGACGTAATTGGTTTAACTAGAGAAGTGACTAGATATGATGCCTAATTTTTTTGACTTGAAGCATTGGAATGTACTGGTTAAGCTGGCTGTAGAGTTAATACAGAGGTTAAATTCCATTACTTACACTCAGAATTAGTATCTGAACTAGTTTTGGTTTTCTGACATTTAGGAAATAGTTATAGTCCCTGTCTAGTAGGGTTTGAGGACCAAATGAAATTATGCATGCAATGCACTTGGCAAAGTACCTAGCACATTACAAGTGCTCAATAAATATTAGTTGTTCTTTTAGTAATGATGACATTAATGAGCTAGTGGAATGTTGGAAGTTATGAGAGGTTAAAAAATTGACGGTAGGAGTGGGGAAGGTTAAGTAGTTTGTACCAATCCAGTAAGTTGTTAATGGATGTTCGAGATGTATGTGGTACATTAGTTGGGTATAGATGTGTCCCACAAGAGCTGGGAAAGAAATAGAGTTCACAGAAAGCCTTTGTGATGTGGTAAGCTTTATGGTGATTTGGAGAAAGAAGAAGCAAAGGAGTGTTTCTTTTCAAGTCAGTTCAATAAATATATGAGTACCCCACTGTAAGTAAGGCCAAGTGGTAAGTGCTCTAAAATGAATAATACACTACTAGCTGCTATTGCACATTAGCAGTGCCAGGAGTGTTGATGCTGAATCTGTATCCTTAAAATGCATTTTGGCCATCATCATAGGGGAACTGCAGACTCATATCATCTGTTTGGCACCATACCCTTCTCATACTCTTCTTTTTTCCTCTTTTTTCTGATTGCATGCCACCCCCCCCCCCATCCAAATCCTTTTTGTTTTATTAAGCAGAGGCATTTAACTTTTCCTGCATATAGGCCTTAAAGTTCCTCCAGGGTATATCACAGTGCAACAAGATATGTAGAAGAGTCAAAAGTCTGTTTTCATAGATTCCATCACTCTACTTGATTGAAGAAAAAAAAAAAGGGGTCTGGGAGATTACAAAATAAATCCCCTTTAACTT